GCCCTTAGCAACCTCATCGGAGGGATTGGTTACTTCCACGGCCATTCGAAAGTCCAGTCGCCTTACAACTCTGCCCCTGTGCCGTACTGGACGTCCAGTCTGTACACGGCCGTCCCCTCGAGAAGCTTCTTCCCCCGCGGGTTCCTCTGGGACGAGGGCTTCCATCTCCTCCTCATCAACAAGTGGAACCCTGAAATCTCCATCGACATCATTTCCCACTGGCTCGACATGATGAACACGGAAGGCTGGATCCCCGAGAACAGATTCTTGGCGACGAGGCCTTGCCCGAGTCCCGGAGGAGTTTGTCGTCCAACGGAACGACGTCGCCAATCCTCCCACGCTCATCATGGCGGTGTTCGACCTCATCCAACGCCACCGCGAATGGCTCCTGATCAATCATAAGGCCACCTTGCAGCGAATGTGGCCCCGCTTGTCGACCTGGTACCAGTGGCTGAATAAGACCCAGATGGGAGAGACGCCCTTCACTTATCGGTCGGTTAATGAATTGATTAGTTAGATATGTTTATATTTTATCAGGGTGGGCTAAATGCTTTGTTAGTATTTTGTGCTGAGATTATTCCCTGTGTTTGGATTTCCGGGGATGTTGCACCCACAAAAAGATGATAATCTGCGTGAAGAAGGCAACAGTCCGTCGAAAATGCATGTTTTGTGAAGAGATTAAGTCAAGTCAAGTAAACCCAGTGTTGTACAACTACTCAGAAAAGTAGTTGAACTACAACTACTTTGATTCCATGTAGTTGAATTCTAACTACATTTTCAACTACATCTTATTTTAACTAATAACTACCAACTACTTCTTAACTACTTTTTTAACCAAATATTAGAATCATGAAAAAATAATGAAATTATTTACAACAGATTTTTACTTTAGATTCAATCAGGCCATGTAATCTCTAGGGTTCATTCGACAATGTCGATTTGCACTTCAAAATTCCAAGTGCTTCAAACAATTCCCCACTTCTGGGAGATTAATTTAATGTAAATGAGATACCCCTTCCTTCCATGATCCATTTAGAAAGGTAGTTAAAAAGTATTTGAAACGTAGTTAGGGTATTGTTGGTCAACTACACTACACCATCTAAAAAAGTAGTTAAACTACTTTGTATCAATTACTTTGGCAAAGTAGACAGTTGAATCTTAACTACAACTACTTTTTGCAAAATAGTAGTTGTAGTAAGTAGTTAAGTACTAGAGTTAACTAGAAAGTGTAGTTAACTACTACAACACTGATTGTAAACCTTTATTAATATGTCCACAAATATCAGTTAATACAAATTGGTTTCAAATTCATAACATAAATTACGAGGCTACTAAACCAAGTATGATTAACAATTTTGGTTCTTACTTAAACAAAATTCGCAACATTGCTACACAAATTTTGTTACGTGTAAGATTGATTAAAAAAAGCTATGAATTTAGATAATTGTGTTAATTAAAGGTTATAGATAGTTATTTATTAAGTTCGATTAATGTAGCCTCCGCCTTTACAATCATACAGATTCGTTCTGAAATGTAATTAACGTAATTTAAATAATTGATTAATTGATTTATTGTTATAAAGCACTGGGATTATTATCAGTTTAGTATTTCTTAAAACTACATTGAAAGAATGATGTTCCGAATTGTCTTTTGCTGTGAATTAACTTTTCATCCTTGACAAATTACTGTTTTTTTTAATCGTTAAATAGTGTATATATTTTGACCGTGAGAAAAAGTTAGTTCCTTCGCAAAACCCGTATTTTCGTATGACTGCTCCCTTCTCCACATACATTTTCGTCTTTTTGTGGGTGTAACATTCCCGGTAATCCAAACGCTGGGAAGAACTGAGCTCAAAATAGTACACATTTCGACAAAGTATTTAAGCCACCTCTACAATTTTATCATTGTAACTAATCCACTCATCTTCCTTTTTAGCTGGCGAGGTCGAAATGCTTCCACCCTGCGGGAACTCAATCCCAAAACGTTAGCCTCCGGGTTGGACGATTACCCCCGAGCGTCCCACCCCACCGAGGACGAGCGCCACTTGGACCTCCGCTGTTGGATGTCTCTCTGTTCTAAACTGATGGGCGAGCTGGCCGAACTTTTGGACTATGACGCCACCCGGTTTCGCTACACATATGAAAAGCTCACGGATCAAGACCTCCTCGACAAGCTCCACTGGTCACCGAAACTCGGAGCTTATACCGATTATGGAAACCATTCAGATAAAGTCGTACTAAAACAAGCACCCGTCATTCCCCCGAAAAGCGGGCAACGTCCGGTCCAACCTCAAGAAAAGGTTCGGCACGCCGTGCAACCACCGGAACTCGGTTTTGTCAACATGTTCGGCTACGTCAGCTTGTTCCCCTTGATTTTGGGGATTTTGAAACCCGACTCGCCCACCTTCACGGCCACCCTGGACAAGTTGGATAACCCCAAATTGCTCTGGACCCCGTACGGGCTTCGTTCCCTGGCCGCCAATCGCCCCTGTACAACAAGCGGAACACGGAGCATGACCCGCCCTACTGGCGAGGCCCCGTCTGGATCAACGTCAACTTCCTCACGCTCAAAGCCCTGCATGACTACTCGAAAATGGGCGGAAGTGGGGCCGTCTTGGCGAAGGAGAAGTATCACAAGTTACGGGAGAACGTGGTCAATAACGTGGTCAGTCAGTACCACAAGACGGGCTACGTTTGGGAGCAGTACGACGACGCGACAGGGAAAGGGAAGGGTTGCCGACCCTTCACCGGCTGGTCGTCGCTCGTTGTTCTGATGATGGCGGAAGAATATTGAGGCTAATGATATCTATTCTATGTGTAGCAGGATATGTAAATATATGCATAAAGATAGCCTATGAATATATTTACGCAGATAATTAATAATTATGTAAATATTGTACCACGTACTTAGTTCCTAAATGACCCTCATGTCCAACAGGTTGCCACCACTTTCTTGTTGTCTTTGGCTTGGCTATTTTTTCTACAATGAGGAAATTCACATCAATCTTTGTAAACTTTATCACATTTACAAAGTTGGTGTGAAGATAGCCTCCGCAATACTCTAGCAACAACAATGTATGATTGATTTTGTACCCCAATATGGATAAATATGTAACATAAATATTAACTTATTTTATAGATATTCCAATATTCCTCCTTTTCTTGTAATGTTTGCTGCTTTTTATAATTGTGATAATGTACAGTTTTATTGTTTGTATAAAATGATTAGCTGCTGTAAGAATATATAAGTAACGTATTAAATAGTAGCTTATATTAGCTGATATTTGTTGATAGTTGAATAAAGTTTACAATACAATACAATACAATTTAAAATGATAAATAAAGAGAACTACATGTACAAACAGTTTATAAAACAAAGATCCAAAATCAAAATGTTTTTCGGTGAATAACGCGTTGGCCTTCTTCTTCTTCAAATTCCCTTTTCGAAACCCACATTTTCTTGAGCGTGTCCAACGACGCCAATATCGAGCCACCGATCCAGGTCGAGTACAAGCGTTATTGGGGAGCAGAAATCAGTGTATAAATTACGTACTTTATGTACTAATTGTCGAAAGTGAATATTTGTTAATTAGCAATTACTTTAAATAACGTCTAGCCACCGGATAGCACAATGTTTTGAAAGAGAATTTTCCTCAAATCCGGGTCCGACTTTTGTATGGAAAACAGCAAAACTTCATGCATAGCTTCACACTCTTCTCTTATCAAACCTGGTCGAAAAAGGACTTCCGGAGCTAGGAAGCGAGCTTGGCCAATCTGTCGACAAAATAGACATTCATTCCAATTCCTTATTACTGAAGTTATAACAAAATTGTCCTCACATCAAGCTGAGCGTCTGACAACCTGTAAATTCGCTTATCCGCATCCGGGTCAAAGTCCTTGGATGGATTCACAGATAAGTAACACTCTCGCTCCTTAATCGTTCTCACAATTTCGAACTCTGACGACGTCCTAAAATTGATTCCTTCCTTTCGTAGAAGAAACCTGTGCAGGAAAATATATGAACAAAATATAAGTTATCCGATATAGCAATTCTGTATGAATATTGAAGGCATGCATAAGTATACTTTTTCAATTTACATATCTTCAAACTCTGGTTTAAATGATCAAAATCAATTAAAATATATCGAAACCTTGTCAATCATTCTTACTATTTCATACTCTGACGATGTTCTATTCTATGTATTCCTTCCTTACGTAGAATAGTAGCAAAGTTAATGAATAAAATGTATCAAAACCTTATCAATACGAGATAAACCAACCTTAGATATCTCGTCACATCTCGCCCAACTAAATCCACCCTCGTGATGCTGTGTGGCAGGGCGAAACCTTCGTAATAGGTCACCCCATCTCCGGCGACTAATGCAACATCCGTCGTTCTCTCATTTGCTTATCTTATCTACCAAGAATAATAACTTCATTAGTTGCAGGCTGCAACTTGCAGCACATTCTCTACTTAATCACCAATTTTTACTTACAATTTAAGAACTGCCTGCATCGACAAAAATAAGGCTGGAGCGTTCAGCGTTTCGAAAAATATCTCGGCCGACTTTTCCCTGTTCCTGCGCGGATTGAGGGGCGCTTCCGTAAGGGGAACGGGCTGCAGAGAACAAATATTTCAAAATTATGACCGACTTATGTTCCTTTCTTGTTCTTTTTACCTCTTCAGCAAATGTTTGCAGCTGATCTTTGCTGTACACGTATTGCCAAATTCTCTCCATGTCGTTCCAATTTGTGACGATGCCATGTTCCATCGGTACTTGATGGCCAACAGGCCCCTGTGCTCTTCCGCCTTGGGACCGATGAGAAGGTCACCCTCGAAAGCTCCGGCCATCACTCGAACGTGCTTTGGACGGCCCACACTGCTCAAAAAATGCTCAAACCTTCACAAACTGCTTATCAACTTCGTTATCTCGTATTTTTAACCACTCACTAATTAGGAAACCGACATTTAGGAACAGAATCTCCAGCAAATCCGGCCTTGATAATACCGTAACCCTGAACCAGACAAATGTCCCATTAACGACCAATTATGCGTTATACAAAATAATTGCTTTCTCACGTTATCAATTACTACAGGCTGATTAACCAACTCCATTTCGTTTTACTTATCGTTTATCAATAAATTCAATTTTTAACAAACTTATCTCGCATTTTATGTACTTTTGTGTGTGCTTTGACTTGAGTCATTCATTTCCAAGCTGGCGCATTATATCTCTTATAGTATGTACGAATCCACTTTGTTCGAAAACGCTATGCTTTCATGCGTTAACTAAACTCCATGATATTTTACTTTTAAGTTCTCAGTGAAATAAATAAAATTAATAATTATAAATAGGCAAATAAATAGTACAATAATTTTCACTAATCGCGCAATTTTGATACATTATTTTTCTCGCTTATAAATTTTATTAGCCATGTACCAGACACGGTATGATTAACACAATATGTTGACATAAGGATGGAAATTGACGACTTACAACTTACGAAGAACATTAATGGATTTGAAAATTCTAATAATTTATAATAACACATATTTTAACAGCAAAATTACTTGAATGCAGGACGTTTCTTCTCCTTCTTCTCCTTCGCTTCTTTGCCTTTGACCGGCTGCTAAAAAAATAATTAATTTAATGAAGGAAGCATAAAATCGAGATAATAAACCTATTTAATTGACGACTTACTTTTTTTTAGCGCTGGAGCTCGCTGTAGCCTTCAAGTAAGACGGCAGTTCCGTCACAACAAATGTTGCCTGTGGACGAAACATTAGTATTTAATTTGCATGTTAAAATGCAACTGAATTTTTATACAACATTCACTCACATTGGCCATTTCTTCCGTGACTCGGGGAGGCAACGACCTTCGCCTGGTTTTCTTAATTGGATTGGTGCTTCGTGACACTTTCCTCCAATGGATGAGGCTCTCTTGCCAGGTCTTTTCTTCACCAGCAGACTAAAAACGCAGAAAAAATTTAGTCACTTAATTTACTTTAAGGAAGGAATAATACTATGCCTACAAATGTTCTGCCGTTAACTCCAGGTTGGCGATAAGACGAGTTTGATAAACATCTGGTTCATCCTGATCCTCTTTCGGCCCCTTTTTTTCCCATCAGGTTTCTTCTCCTCCAGCTGGAAAAAAAAAATAAAATGGTCATAATTTTGATTTCTAAACCCTCCTCACGGAAGTGCCCCTCAATCCGGGCAGGAAAAGGCAGAAGTCTGCGGAAATATTTTAGAAACGCTGAACTCTATAGCCTTATTTTTACCTTCACTTTCTCAGATGGTGCTGGGGGTGGGTTTCGTGAGGACTGCGCGACGGGTTCTTGAGGCGGCGTCTCCGGGGGGATTCACCTCCTACAATCGTCTCTAAAATGGGAACAAACGACTTCCTCTGAGCCATTTTTTCACTATTTTTGAAAATATTGAGAGTAATAGTCGATACGTAGTATTCAGTGGAAGGAGGAAGCGCGACTGAGCCGAAATTGGAAAGCGTCGGCCGAGGAAAGCTCGCCTCTGCAATGTTGAAGAGGTCATGTAGAAGAAAACTCAGTTTCTCCAACTTATTTTCTTGACCTCCCGTAAGAGTTGGCATGTGTGGTGGGTGGAGGAGGAAATGTGTCTAGACTCCATCCTCACCACTGTCTCGTTTTTATTTTCAACTGACCTGAAGCCAGCCACTCAAAATTTCCAAAAAGTTGGACAATTTTCCATGACCAAAATGCATGAAAGCTAAGCGTTTTCGAACAAAGTGCATTCGTACTATGAGAGATTTAATGCGGCAGCTTGGAAATGTATGAGTCAAGTCACAGCACACAGAAAAGTTGTTCGTTGTGACAAGTACGTAAAAATGCGAGAAAAGTTGGTTAAAAAATTGAATTTATTGATAAACGATAAGTAAAACGAAATGGAGTTGGTAAATCAGCCTGTAGTGATTGATAATGTGAGAAAGAAATCAATTTGCAAAAGGTTTAATTGGTCGTTAATGCGAGATTTGTTCTGGTTCAGGGTTCCGGTATTATCAAGGCCGGATTTGCTGGAGATTTCCGTTCCTAAATGTCGGTTTCCTAATTAGTGAGTGGTTAAAAAATACGAGATAACGAAGTTGATAAGCAGTTTGTGAAGGTTTGAGCATTTTTGAGGCAGTTGTGGGCCGTCCAAAGCACGTTCGAGTGATGGCCGGAGCTTTGGAGGGTGACCTTTTCATCGGTCCCAAGGCGGAAGAGCACAGGGGCCTGTTGGCCATCAAGTACCCGATGGAACACGGCATCGTCACGGATTGGAACGATATGGAGAGAATTTGGCAATATGTGTACAGCAAAGATCAGCTGCAAACATTTGCTGAAGAGGTAAAAAGAACAAGAAAAGGAACATAAATGGGTCATAATTGTGAATTATTTGTTCCCAGCACCCCGTTCTCCTCACGGAAGCGCCCCTCAATCCGCGCAGGAACAGGGAGAAGTCGGCCGAGATCTTTTTTGAAACGCTGAACGCTCCTGCCTTATTTTTGTCGATGCAGGCAGTTCTAAGCTTGTAAGAATAAGTGTTAACTTAATTCTTGAAGAATTGATAATCGAGTCTCGCAACATATGGTCACAGATTTTGAGGAATAATCGATCATAAGTTTAATTAATGTGAACTTTGCAAAAGACAATGGGCCACGGTTACCAGCGGTATTTGCATCGAAAGAGGGAGAAACTGCGCCCTAAAGTTGATAAGTTTTACACCTTTCAACTTTACTGGTCGTTTCCTCCTCTTTGGATGCAAATATCTCTGCCAAAAAGTGTCTATTGGTAGATGGTGTAGTTTGCAAATTTCGTATTAATCAAATTTGCGATTGATTCACACTGTTTTGCTAAAAATCAGAGAGCATACGATCTTCATTTTGAGTGATAATTATTTTATTAATCATTTAATTTAACTATCATTTAACCATTTGATTTCGTCCCATAATTAATAATATAATTGTTCTTTGTAGATATGCAACTGGGAGGACGACGGGCGTGGTGCTGGACGCCGGAGATGGTGTGACCCATGCAGTGCCTATTTACGAAGGTTTCGCCCTGCCCACACAGCATCATGAGGGTGGATTTAGCTGGGCGAGATGTGACGAGATATCTGAGGTTGGTTTATCTCGTATTGATAAGGTTTTGATATATTCTATTCATTAATATTGCTACTATTCTACGTAATGAACGAACAAGTCTTAGAATTTTGTGAGAGTTTGAATAGTAAGAATGATTAACAAGGTTTTGATATAGTTATATTGATTTTGATCATTTCAACCAGAGTTTGAAGATATGTTCATTGAAAAAGTATACTTATGTAATGCAGGCCTCCAATATTCCTACAGAATTGCTATCAGATCTCGTATTGATAAGGTTTGATATATTCTATTCATTAATATTGCTACCATTCTACGTAAGGAAGGAATACGTAGAACAACGTGAGAGTTTGAAACAGTAAGAATGGTTGACTAGGTTTTGATTTAGTTTTATTGATTTTGATCATTTCAACCAGAGTTTGAAGATATGTTAATTGAAAAAGTATACTTATGCAGGCCTTCAATATTCATACAGAATTGCTGTATCAGATAACTTATATTTTGTTCATATATTTTTGCTGTACAGGTTTCTTCTACGCAAGGAAGGAATCAATTTTAGGACATCGTCAGAGTTTGAAATAGTACGGACGATTAAGGAGCGAGAGTGTTACCTATCTGCGAATCCATCCAAGGACTCTGACCCGGATGCGGATAAGCGAATTTACAAGCTACCAGACGGTAGTCAGCTTGATGTAAGGGACAATATTGTTATATATTCAGTAATAAAGAACAACAATGAATTACTATTTTGTCGACAGATTGTCCCGGGTATCGAAACGGCGGTGGCGACACGGCGGTGCTACTACATAAACGCCAGAAATCGTTCACGTTTAACAAGTGAGAAAGATATGTATTTGCTTTGATGGAATGTTTTCAGGTTTTAATATGATTATGTATGTTTGTAATGTCGTCATGTATTAATTAAAATGTTTGTTTTACAGACTACTTTCCACCTGCGGGATAAGCACAATTGTAGCATTTGTAGCGTATTAAGGTTATCTTGGATATTTAGAGACGAGAATTTCAACTCCTCTGCAAGTAGATAAGGTATTCTATTTGTTTGTCTGTTTGTTGTTCTTTGTTCAAGTGTGTCGATAAGTATTAGTTAGTTAATTACAAACTGGTATTCAATCCATGGCCAAACAAAGTTAATTATTTGTATTCTAATCACTTAAATAATTAGCTAACTAATGAAGCATTTCACGTCAGTCTTCGTAATTTCGTAAACTAACGAAACATAGGAACATCGCGTAGATAATTTTGACTTATTACAAAAACTTACAAAGATAAAAGCCATGTTACTGGTTCGTAAGTTGATCTTCGTAAACTTACGTGGTCACGAAATTACGAAGGTTGACGTAAAGTGTCTTATTATTAATAAGTTAAGTAATCTGTCTAATTTTAAGTAAATATTTACGTCTCTACAGAAAGTACTAATTTTGTATCTATACTCTCACTTGATTTTGGTACTCGCTACTTTTCGCAGGTAGTCGTCCGTGCAGGGCTTGATATTCCCGAACGGTTTTGGGGGTCTTATCGACCCGGCGTCTACTTTGGGATGAAGCATCGAAGTCCAAAGTCCTTGCTCACTGGGTTCATGTGGCTCCTCCCTTCTCTAGTCAGGCCAGGAGAACCCAACTTACGGTAATTTCACTTTATCCACAACAATGCAAATTCAATTCCGTTTTATAAACACGTAATTTCCTTCTAATTTTAGGCACTTGTGCGAACAAGGTGACGGCCTAACGAAGTACGGCTGGGTTGAGCATGACGGCGTAAACTTTGGGGTTCAGGAAATCATTGATCATCACATGAAATTGACAACGTCTTTCGTTAAAGCTCATCACGGGAAGAAAGGTGGCGATTGGACGTCACGAATCGAAGTTCAACCTCTGGTAAAAATCAGAAGTTTTTAAATATTGACTAGTTAACGTAGAATTCGATAACTCATTGTCAAAACAAAGTAAATACCTACTTACATATGTATTAAATGGAAATTTTAATGTAGGAATTGACGACTCATCGTCAAAATCAACACATTTTTAATCATTTCCCCGCTCTGGGAACTTATTTTAAAACTCTGGACGACAAATTTGTAGTCAGTGAGTTGATTAATTGAATGGTGCTGAGTTTTTAAGCCAGTTTCGATGAGGTCCAATTTATCTGAAGGCTTCTTAAAGTTGAGGTCTCCTTCAAAAAGTGTCGAAATTATAGTTATTTTTTTTAATTGGGAAAGGTCTGCTCAACAAGTACATCATTCAGAATTTCAAAATACATTGGAGAAATATTAAATATTTGCTGTCTTTAACGATGAATTATCGAGTCCTACGTTAATTAATTAAATGAATTAGTTATATATTTCATTCGTGTATGTATCATTATTCCGATGACGAATTAACCAATCTTCTGTCTATTAGGCGACTACAATCATCCCCAGTCGACCACGAAGGAGGAAGTCGTGCTCCTCTACTACGTCGCTTTGGAAGCCGGCATGGGTGGGAATCTCGTTCCCGAATATTACGGCGACATTCTCAAATCCGTCGAAGGTTACACGCCCGAGTTGGGAAAGTTCACGATAAAGTAATTCCCACTTTTTAAACAAACATGATAACAACTATGACTTATCTATATTAAATCCTCATTTTTTGTACAGGTTCATCAACAACAATAACGTTTTAAAGTCTTCATTTATCCAAACAAGTCTGGATTCCATGACTGCCGCTTCAAACACCGTGCTCTCGAGCATGGCGACCACCTCGGTTTCCGAAAAGCAGTGGTTGTTCTTCCTCAAAAATAGGAATCAGCCAGACTCGAACCCTCAAAACTTTCTTGTTTATCAGGTGCGTATTTATTAATCAGCAGGGTGGCTGACTGATTGATTGATTAATAGTCATTTATTCACGTTATTCCTTGATCAGTACAATTTAATGACTGGTTTACATCAAGTAACACTAAAAGATATAATGAGTAAAGAATTAACTTAACTACATAACATGACCTTACATTTATCTATTCCGTATTACTGTAATACGGAATACTTTGTCAAGATACAAGATAAACGATAGTATCTTGTCTTGTATCTTGCTCGCCTGATCAGGGACGTATCTTGTATCTTATATCTTTTAGACAATCGAATAGTATCTTGTGTAAGTATCTTATCTAGATATGCCTGGAAGAAAAGTATCTTAAGATAGTTGACAAGATGCAAGATACTTTTTTCTAAATTATGTCAAATTCAGTCAA